GTATTAGATAAATTTCAGTAAGTGGGTTCAATAATTTTTTCCCTGTGCCATTAAAACATTATTACAAATAACTTCATTTTTGGACATTTATGGTTTGATTTCTTTGTATGTATGGATCACTTGGGTTGTTACCGACATCTGGTGAAAATTTCATATCATTAGCACCTCTAGTAATATATTTACTGAGAAAAATGGTGACATGTTCAATACTTATTTTACCTGCTGTATATATTTTTTAACGTTTGTGCATCTCTTTCGCCCTTCTCTTTGCAGAAATGCCACCTTTCACTACCGCAGAAGCAGCGCCGCCTTCTTCGGAGGCCTGTGCTCTGTGAGCCGTGGAGTGGGGGTCAATGAGGTCAGGTTTTCTGTCTTAATACGAGGCGTGATGATTTGTTGTTGCTGCAGTTCAATAATCTGCTGCTGTCACGTCCACAGTACGGCTCCACCCCGTCCATGGTGGTGTCTGTGTCCCAGAGCCTTGCTCAGAACCTGGGGATTCAGTGGGACCCAGCAGCCAAGAGAAGTATGAAACTAATTTTGTTATCTCACAGCTACGTAAGAGATAGGGACTATAGGACAGGTGGATTGGAGTCAAAGGTTTATGGCCTCTAATGCATTTGGAAACAGATCATCAACTCGGCAGCCCGTGGGCCATGAACAATCTGCAAAATCATCCCACTGGGCTTGCAAAATATAAAGTCATTATCAAAATAAAGGTTTATCCTTATACTGTATAAATGCAAATTTCCTTCTGCTGCTCAAGACAAAACACAGATCATTTTAATGGCGGCAAATCTTTAAAAAAAGTTTTTTTTAAATCCCATAATAGATCTTTTACAATTTACTTGGACTTGGAGAAGCAACTATCACATCAAATTTTAGATCAGCATCTAAAATGAACCAAGTTATAGCCATGCTTATGTTTGGGCTATGGCGGCCATCTTGAACTGAGTTGACTTCAAACAGTAGTGAGTTTTAGATACAGCTAATGATTTATTTCTGTGACTTTTACTCAAATCTGCCCAGTTGTTCTTACTACAACAATTAATATAAAGATTTTAGCATAGATGTGTGAAGCTAACAGTATGTGCTGGGAATGACACTCAGCTACTACCACACCAAATTTTAGCTCATTAGCTCTAAAATTGGCTAAGTTATAGCCTTTTTGTTTGTTGACTGTGGCGGCCATCTTGAATTAAGTCAGCCCCAAAAGTTAATCTGTTTATTTCTGAGATATTCATTGAAATCTATCCATTGGTTCCTGAGATATTTTGCTAACAAGACAGTAGGCTGGATGTCTTTAACAAATGTACTCATCTGTACCAAATACTGGGTTAACAACCAGTATAGTTAGGGTGAGAATACTCAGCTGGTTGTAATTGGTAAAAAGGCATCAGGAACTAAAATGTTCACACTGCTCCTTAACATGGCTTCATGGTTTAAGTATGACTTAGCATTTTAGGCAGAAGGGACATTTTTTTTAAACAAGTGAGCAAATTATCTTATTCGGTTTCCGTTATAAACAAAAATTAGATTTTTTTTAAATGAGTCCAAAATCATCCAGTTTCGATTTGATTCATGCTCAGATTCAGGATCGGTGTTATGGAGGAACAAATCGGACATAATTAGAAATAAAAGCAGAAATATATAAATGGATATACTTTAAAATGCATCAATTAAATTAAATAAATAGAACTTTACCTCATGTTTTATAATTTAATTGACCTTCATATTTAGTTTAACAGCTTAGTTCTAATAAATTATATATTTTACCACATAATTTAAATTTTACTGTTTTTAAAAATATATATATTTTTTCTTCCTTTTACTTGTAGATCCATCTGTGTTTCTTAAATGATTATATTATTTTTTCTCACAAGTCATTTTATTTCCATGTGATTTTTTTTTTTACATTTCTCTGTCTCCTGTTTTTACTTTACCTTATGCATTTCCGCCTTATTATGTAAATAAGATGGGCGGTCCTTCTTGGGTCAGCTCCTCTCCTGTTGGTCAACAGAGGAGGAAGCAGTATCCATGTCCAGATCGACTGGGCATGTTTGTGCTGCCTCATTTTAGCTTAAAGTTTAAGGTTTAGCTAAAAACAAAGACAAGGAGAAAAACACTTACACAAATGCATGTACAAGTAAAGGGAAAAACAAAATATACACATTTTCAATATGTTTAATTCAATTATTTAATTAATTAAAATTCAATTATGTGGTAAAATATATAGTTCATTGGAAATAAGCTGGAAAATTAAATATGAAGGTCAATTAAATCAGAAAACATGAGGAAAAGTTCTCTTTTTTAATTTAATTTGTGCATTTTAGGTGTCTTTATTTATTAATTGGTCCATTATTTCTGCTTTTATTTCTAATTATGTCAGATTCGGTCCTCCACATGGTGTCCTTAAAGACGAGAGGTCATTAAACACCCGACAGGTCAGAAACTGATACCTCAGTAAAAACATGTCAGCAAAACGGCTCCTAAAAGCCAGTTCAGGCTGAAAAAATAAACAAGAAGTGCAGCAGAATGCTTTCGGTACCAGGCACTGGATCCACTTGGTGCTTCTTTGCCAAATCAGTGTTTGTTCTGCTCTCCTCTTGCAGAAGAATGTGGCTGTGCTAACTTGTGGACGGGCTGCATTATGGAGGACACTGGGTAAAGTCCAACACACAAACACAAAAGACACGGTTTTCTTTCATCAACTTGTTTTTGTCTCCTCCCTTTCATTTGGTTCTTTGTGATATCATGAAATCTGAGTGAAAGCTGAGGTTTCAAATATACTCCACCTCCAGTAGTGGATCCCATCATCTGGAGGAAACCAAATAAACAAGTTAAATTTAATGCAGAAGAGTCCATGTGTTGAGATTGTGTCAAATAAATTCCACGGAGTGTTGAAATAACTAAGGCCAAGAAAATGACCGCACAGCTGCAGATCTGAACAGTGCCGGTTACAAAACCATACTGCAACCAGAGCATCATGATAAAAACAACTATTTCTTCTTACACCAAACATATATGCACGATCCAGCTCGAAAGTTTTCAGTATTCAGTAATACTAAGTTCAGATTTATTGGGCCTCATGCAAGAACCGTTCGTACGCACAGATTTGTTCTTAAGTTGTGCGTACGAGTGATTTAGGAGAATTTGTGGCATTCACCAATGT